TCGAGCACGTGACCTCAGAGAGCACGTCGGGCACGACTGTGACTCTTTGGTCGGCGTGGTCCTCAGCAAGTCCATTTGGGTTGGGCCTTAGGAATGCTATTGGGCCTGTCGGGCCCAGTCCAAAACACTTTCAATAGACCCATCGGTCTTATGATTGATCTTTTACACTCGTACACTTCCAATATGCTTTACGTGGATACGAAGATCAACAATAGCTCTACTTTTACTTGTCTTAAGGCGCACAATTATGATTTCATTGCATCAATCCAACAATGATGCTTACTAACTTCTTTGTAATCTCCTGGATCATTTCAGTTCTCAAGGACATGACAAATTTTCTACATGATTGAGAAATATTTGAATAGGAATGTTTTTGCAAGGTAAGGTAAATGTTGTTGGTTATTGTTAATTATGGAAGATTAATCATTGTCATTGTTGTTTTGAGAAATTTCTATGTCAGGATTGGATTTGTCGGTCAATTAGAACTAGTGTTGGTTGTGGGGTTAGATTTAGGGTCATTTTGGTAAGAGGTATTGTATGATGTATTGTAAATCTAGTGGAAGGGAGGATTTGTGTTTTGGTAAGGATTAAAATGATCATGGTGAGTTTTTTCTCTTGAAATGAAAATATTTCCGCTGTTGAGACATAAAATAAGGGCATGGAAGACTCTGACCTATTATTTGTTCTTACAATTTTTATAGTTGGGTTAAATTGATTTTCAAGCATGATAATAAACTGTTGCACTTCCTTAGTGACTTCTAATTTAGCGTTAAACAAAATCATCAAGAAGAGTGACAAAGTAGTAGTGACCATGGATAGGTTGAATAGAAATAGGACTTTGATAGTGCACAAGGTGACGAAGAATAGGAAGAAGAAGAGAATATATTTATTATTCTGTAATAACGAATGTAGAGTTAAAGGAAGAGTCTCATTTTAAATGACAGTTATTAGTCTATTTATACACACATATTAGAGCCACATAGACAACATACTAAAAAAAATTCTAAATTACCCTTCAATATCATCCCTTAATTTAGGATTTCCTAATCAAAATTAACAACACCAATTACATCCCTTAAGTGGAGAAATTGACCTGTCTTGATTGTCTTTGTCAGAAAATTTATTAGCTGTTTCTGGGTGCTACAATGCACAACTTCTAATACTTCATTCTACACTTGACTTCTCAAGAAATGATACTTTGTCTCAATATACTTACTTCTCCCATGCAACATTGGATTCTTATCAAGGTTGATTGCATACTTGTTAACAATCACCAACTTCAACGACTTTTCTACCTTGATCTTCAGATCCTACAGTAGATTCAGAAGTCAAATAGCTTGACATGCAGCTATAACACCTACAATGTACTCAGCTTCACATGTTGATAGTGCAATGACATATTACTTCTTGGAACACCAAGAAATATGACCTTCCAGAAACTTAAACAAGTATCCAGAAGTACTTATACTGTCAACTCTATCTCCACACCAATGAGAGTCAGGGTAACTCATCAGCTCTGAATTAGTCTTTCTTCTAGAAAGGAATAATACTCCATACTTCAAAGTTCCTTTGATATACCTCAGAATTCTGATAGCAGCTTGGTAATGAGACCATTTAGGTTTAATCATGAATCTACTAACCATTTCAACTACATAGCAAATATCAGGTATGATATTACACAAATACCTCAAAGAACCAACCAACTGTTTGAAGGTTGTGGCATCCACATCGTCACCCTCAGAATCAGAATCCAATTTATGATTGGTTTCTGAAGGTGTGACAACAACTTTACAATTCTGCAGCTTAAATCTCTTCAGAAGCTCAAGTTTAAATTTCAGCTGGTGCAAAATGATACCCTTCTCAGAATACATAATTTCCATCCCTAGAAAATATATCATATTTCCCATATCACTCATCTCAAACTCGTTCATTAACATCTTCTTGAACTTGGCTATATTTTCTGGATAACTCCCTGTAAGCAATATGTCGTTAACATAAAGACACACCAGAATCATATTGCCTTCAAAATGCTGCACATAAACACCATATTCCATCTCACATTTCTGAAACTTTTGCTTCTTGAAAAATGAATCAATCTTCAAGTTCCAGGCTCTGGGCGCTCGCTTCAATCCATACAAGGCTTTATTCAACTTGTACACCATTCATTCCTGATTCTTTTTTACAAATCCAAGAGGTTGTGACACATATACCTCTTATTGTGACGGGCCGCTCAGAAATGCCGACTTCACATCTAGATGTGTCAGAGGCCAATTCTTATTCACAACTAAAGCAATCACCAGTATGATTGTTTCAGTCTAGCTACAGGCACAAACACCTCAAAGTAATCCAGCCCAGATTTATGAAGAAAACCTCTAACCACTAGCCTTGCTTTGTGCTTGCCAATTGATCTATCTGGCTTAAATTTCATTTTGAAAACCCTTCTGACGCTGATGGCTTTCTTCTCGTTTGGAAGAGAAGTCAACTTCCAAGTCTTGTTTCTTTCTATAGCCCTAAGTTCTTCTTTCATGGCATTCAAACATTCTTTCTTCTTGAGGGCTTCTGCAATACCCAATGGTTCAGAGTCTACTAACATGACACACTGAATGACTTCTCCCTCATAGTTAACTCTGGTATCTCGCAACATGTCAAACTCTACAAATCTTCTTGGTATTTGTCTGATTCTTTATGGTCTCTGAACTCACTCTAAATCTTATCCAGAACCTAGAACATCATTAACTTTTGTACCTTGTCCAAAACCACCACCTTCAGAATTACCACCTTCAGAAACATTATCACCTCCAGAAGCTTGTCCTATAGAATCTACATCTTCAGAGTTTTCTCTTCCAAAAGTATGATCACCACCAGATTCTAGATCATCGTTACAATTTGGATTAGAATTAGATTTATCATCTGACTCATCTTCAGAGTCTCTAGAATCATATACTGCTGGCACTACACCAGAAATGGATTGAGACTAGCTCGAATCCCAAGCTTCTGACTCTTTTACAATGATGTCTCCTGCTGACTTCAACTTTATTAGTTTCTAGACAATAAAGCTTGTATGCACATGTATTATGGTACCCCACCAATAACATTACTTTGCTTCTATCATCCAGCTTCTGAAATGTGTTTGTAACATACAGAATCAAACACCTTCAGATGGCTAACACTTTTCTTATCTCCAATCCACTTCTCTAAAAGGAACAATTTCCTTCATCTTCTTCGTTGGATACTTGTTGAGTATATACACTGAAGTGGGAGCAGCTTCTCCCTATAAGATATGAGATAGATTCTTCTTTTTCAACATACTTCTTGTTATATCAAACAATGTACGATTTCTTCTCTCAACAAGACCATTGTATTGAGGAGTATAAGGATCAGTAACCTCGTGCTCAATTCCATTCTCCTCACAAAACTTTTGAAACTCTGTAGAGTTATACTTACCTCTACCATCCATTCTGAAAATTTTCAACTTCTGACCACTTTGTTTCTCAGCCTTCACTTTGAACTTCTGGAACTCTATAAACACCTCATGATGAGTGCTACCCACGTCATTTTTGTGAACTCATCCACAAAAGACACAAAATACTTGTTTCCTCAAAGTGAAGGTTTTAGTAATGGTCCACACACATCAGAATGCTCTTAATTCCAGGAACATACTAAAAATCCTTGATCAGAATAGTCTTCACATTCTCACTTTAACTTTGACATTTCCCATACTTTGTGCATTAAGGTACTTATCATCAACACATCTGATCTTTTTCCTCCTTCTGGAGTAAAAATCTATCAGCCATTGTTTCTTTTCAGTCAAGTGATTTGAGGTGCCAATGTCCATATACCACCAGTCTTCCAACTACCTTCCATCAGACTCATAAGCCATTAATAACACAGATTCATCATTGGAATCTCCTTTGGCTATATTTTCTTCTTCTGATTTCCTTCCCTTGTTTGACCAACAATCTTTAGCAAAATGGCCAAACTGCTTGCAACAGTAATATTAAACCTTCTTCTTTTCGTACTTCTCACTTCCTTTATGATGTTTCTTCTTATCAGAAGTGAAGGTTTCTGACTTCTGATACCTACCATGTCTTTTTTGCTTCTGGTCCTTCTTGACAAAAGAAGCCTTCAGAGCCTACTTAACTTCTCTTTCAGAAGTTCTTTCATTCAAACGCAACTCTTGCGCCTCTAGAATGTTTTGCATCTCTTATATTCTCATGATGTCCAGATCTTTAGAATATTTAATTGCTACAACAATGAAATCAAATTAAGGGGGTAAGAGATCTCAATATCTTCTCTATGATTACTTATTCATTAAAGATTTCTCCACAAGCTTTCATCTCATTAGTGATCAAAATCACTCTGGAGATTTAATCAGATTAGAGATTGTGTACCTGAAAACCCTTTAAGAAGGTATTTGTACCTTAGACTTGACGGGACAGGTTGGATAATAGACCTCGTGTTATTAGACTTTTGCCAGTGCGGAGCAATGAGTCATGAGTCTTTAGCCGACAATATATATATATATATATATATATATATATATATATATATATATATATATATATATATATATATATATATATATATATATATATATATATATATATATATATATATATATATATATATATATATATATATATATATATATATATCATTGCAACTACTATAATACAATTTCAACTTGTTACATCATCATAAACAAAAACCTCTTATAATCAATTAATTGACTATATCAATAACCTGTAGCGTAGGTGACAAATTATTCGTTAGAAGAATAACTGAATAAGTAGCATGTAGTTGTTAAAGATTAATTGAACATGTATGTTGCTAATTCAAAAATATTTACTTACTAGGTCTTTAAATGTATTTTATAAGTAAATGTATGGAATATTTCAATGTCTAAACTTCTTATAAATAGACTCTCTTTATGTCTCCAAAATCTCATCATTCATAAACATACAGAAGCAAATATACAACAAACAAAGAAAGAAAGCAATATGAAGAGTAGTTACTTGATTTTTACAGCCTTCATGGCCTTAGCATTTGATCCCAGCCCTCTACAAGACTTTTGTGTAGCTATCAATGACACCAACAATGGTGGTATGTATATATAATAATGTTTTTTCTGTTCATTAGTACTTTTCTGCTATGATAGTAATGGTAAAGCCTTTGAATTTTATTACAGTCAATCAATTTAATCTCGGTATTTGATTTGCAGTGTTTGTTAATGGAAAATTGTGCAAAGATCCAAAACTTGCCACTGCAAATGACTTCTTTTTCTCAGTGAAAGAAGGAAACACGTCAAATTCACTTGGCTCAAAAGTGACACCGGTTGCAGTTAATGAGATATTAGGATTAAACACTCTTGGTATCTCTCTTGCTCGCATTGACTTTGCACCTAGGGGACTAAATCCTCCACACACTCATCCAAGAGCTACTGAGATTCTTATAGTTTTGGAGGGTACTCTCTATGTTGGTTTTGTTACTTCTAACCCATAAAACCGTCTCATTACAAAAGTACTCAACAAAGGAGATGTATTTGTGTTCCCTATTGGTCTCATTCACTTTCAGTTGAATGTGGGATATGGAAATGCGGTTGCCATTGGTGGACTTAGCAGTCAGAATCCAGGAGTTATCACAATTGCTAATGCTGTGTTTGGATCTAATCCAAAAATTTCTTCAGATGTTCTCACAAAGGCTTTTCAAGTGGACAATAAGATAGTTGACAATCTTCGGAAACAGTTTTGGTTGGACAACAACTAGAATCAAAGTTTTGATAGTTTATATCTAATTTACTGTTAGTTTAATTTCTTATTTTACCTTTTGACATTGTTGATATTTATTATAAGATTTTAAGAAAATAAAATGTAGGGTATGATGTACCTTATATTCATATTTGAACTATTTGAATAAAAAAAGTTTGCTTTCTAAATTGTATTTGTAACATCTTATGCTTCGTCGATGAAGATGGTTCATTTGTGTGCTTCGCATGTTGGAAGAGATGATGAGGTTATTTCTGCCACGAAGTCGGTTTGTACTTGGGATTTGAGGGCCTTTCGGCTCTCATATCTGATGTCGAACTCATACAGCTCTAATGACCATCTGAGCATCTTTCTTGTCATGTCTAGACGATCGAGCAACTATTTTACGGGCTGACCTGTCCGTGCGACGATCGTGTGGGCTAAAAAGTAGTGCCTTAGTCTTCTTGTTGAATTGATGAGGGCTAGTGCCACCTTTCCGATATGCTGATACCTGAGCTTTGGGTCTTGTAGGGCTTTGCTCGTAAAGTATATGGGTTTCTGCCCCTCAGGGGTTTCTCGGATGAGATCCACACTGACAGTCTCTGCTGGGAAGACGAGATAGAGGTAGAGAATTTCTCCATTATTTGATTGCGAGAGTACCGGAGGCTACGAGAGTGTCTGTTTGAGGTGGAGGAGGACTTGCTCACACTCTTCGGTCCACTCGAATGATGCTTCTTTGCGAAGAAAATTGAAAAGGGGAAGTGCGTGCTAGGCAGATTTTGACACGAAGCGGAATAACGAGGTGAGCATCTCGTTCAGGGATTGAGTTGAGTTTTTTGAATTTGGTGTTGGAAACTCGAAAAATGACCTGCACTTGTTGAAGTTGGCTTCAATTTCTCGTTCTGTTAGGTAGAAGCCTGACAATTTTTCTGCTCGTACGCCGAAGGTGCATTTCTATGGATTAAGCTAATATCTTATTCTTCATCAATCCATTTGTAATGCCTCCAGAGACAATATGTAGCATATATCTCATAACATAGTATCCACAAAAATGACTGTCAGGTTATTTTCGACACTACAAATAATTTTCATATACTTATGTCGAACTAATACACAAAAATAATATAATATCAAAAAAGCACAAGTAATATAATTAATCTTTGGTAAGCATAAACTAAATTTTTATCAATAACATTTCTTCTGCGCGCATTAAATTCCTACATCGCTCTACACATGTCGGTTAAAATTAAACATGAATAAAAAATATTCAATTCTAAATTTAATTTGAGTATTAAAAATAATACCACTTACCCATTCAAAGCGGTAACCACAACGTCGGGCAGTGTCAAGTACACTGAGAAAAACACAATTATAGTATTTTCTTGGGACATAAAAAAAGTAGTTGCCAAGTTTTCTGCATAAACATTTAGAATAACTAATAATATGGATACAATTGATTTATAAATGAAAACACAAATTAATATATACTTACTCGCGGTAATTTAGGGCCACATAACAATCTTTGATGTTCCCTTTCTCCATCAACTTCTCTTGTAAGTAATTTCTGATTTGTGTCTTGACGAACTGCGAGTAAGAGCAATCCTCGCAGTATCTAAGATACAATATATATTTGTTTAGAAGCTTCCTTTCAACACAAAACTCATGGGTGCACCTGCAAGTTCAAATCTTTATGTTAAAGTACAAGAACGTATGAATATAAATATAAATCAACATAAAACTATACCTACGAGCTCCAAATTTGTAATATGAAATTGTCTAGGTCATTATCTCCCTTAAATAATTCATATATAGAAAGCTTAGGAAGTACAAATAACTTTCCTAGATCATGACTTAATGTAATACCAAAGCATGTGTCTTCAATACTCGCCATCATTATCTCTAGTCTCTTAAGACCATCTTGTTTAGGTGGTGAGGGTTCAATGCTGCATTGGTTGGCAAAAAAACCATGTGTCACGCTTGTACCACCCGTAGCTTTCTCAACCACATTCTCTTGAATTTCTAATTGATTTGAATATGTGTGGCTAAATATATCCAATAAACTCAATTTCTGCATCATAAAAACAACATAAATACAATCCAAAATTAAAATACGCAAACAATAATAACAACATACAACTTATACCTCAAGAACATCGCGGATACACTTCTCAGACACTTTCTCCTTATTCATCCTCTCTCGCTCTTCTTGCTCCTTATGGACACTCTCCCACACCATCTACAACAACCTATCCCTCCCCTCCTCCAAGAACTTCTCCTGCACCATCTACAACAACCTCTCTCTCTCTTCCTCCAAGAATTTCTCCTGCACTGACTGCAACCATCTCTCCCTCTCCTCCTCCAAGATCATATCATTCTCCTCCTTCCCCTTCTCCCTTTCCTTCTTTAACTCAACAACAAAAATCTCTTCAGGCTCTCTCTGACTGATTTTCTCTCTAGATGATTTAGAGCGTCTAAAATATACCTTAAAGTCAACGCCTCTACCAAGACCACATGCACGCCCATGATGCTCCTCGGTTCCAATCGCTTCTACCAAGATGTCTTGACGATCTTGTGAGGTGAAGAGGACTTTGGTTTGTTCAACAAGATAATCCTACAACACATATGAATTATATCTTTACCAAATTGACTTAACTAAAATAAATATTATTGAAAAAAGTATCTACTTATAATCTTTTGAGCCACTTCGCACGTAGCATCTGATGTGAACTCGCCATCTTTTCTTTATCGCGCCTGTTGCACCCCGAAATTTGCCCTCTTACTTGTAAACGAATTGGCTTATACTCCACCATCATATTCATCACTTGCATTGCATTAACTCGAGGACATATAATCAAGGTTTTGGATGGATAGGTAAACATTGCCTTAAAGAAGAATATTTATCTTCAGAGGTTGCGTATCCGAAGTCTTTTCATCTCAAATATCATCCCAAGTCATGAGGTATGTGGGTATAAGAGCGCTTCAGGATGTTCCAGTTGGATTAACGTTTAGGAGTTATGGTCAACATCCCCGATCTTTGCGACGCAATCAGTATTCTTGATTGGTGGTGTGGTTTAACTGATCTTTTAAAGTCTAAAATGGTCTCGTGGTTTTTCTCATCTACATTAAAAGCATCTGCATGAGGTATGTTGGTCTCCACGTTTTTATCAGAAGAATCGGGGTCAATCGAATAAAAAAAGATTTAGGCGTGTATGAGCAAAGGTCAACAAAATTCAAAAAATCGACTAAAGGAGTTTTTGATCAGGGTCATTTGTTAAAGGTCCCAAACGTGAGGAAATTTGCTGAGTTGTTGGGAAAAATCAAAGGAATCGGCCGAATTTGAAGTTTCTCGCATTTTTAGTGATATGGGCTCTTAATAATTTTTAGAAGATTTTTCAAAATATGGTAAACCTCATGGCTAATACAAAATCTCCGAACATGAAAGTTGAAGATCGGATTCTCCTCTCCAGTTTTGATTCAAGAATCATACTATTCAGAGGTTCGTAGAGAAAGTTATGATGTTTACATTTTGAAGGCTTGAAAGATGAAATGCTGCCAAGACTTGCCTTGCCTGGCCAACATTTTATCGAGCAGGTGGCAGACGCATGTTTAGGACGTTTTTTATCATGGATTTATGTCTCGTTTCGAAATATGTCGAACATGAAAGTTGGAGTGTGTCACACACTCTTCGTTTTTGCTTCAAACTTCGTCTTGTTTTGTGCACCGTGGAAAGAAATATCGAAGCGCAAAGTAGGAGGATTGAAGAGGACGAGAGGCAGGTGCCACGCATGGAATTTGTAATGCCAAGCCTGGCATTTTTTCGAACAGTTGCAAGGAATATACTTATCGCATTTTTCTTTATGATTAAGGTCGTGTCTGGATTGGAAGCAAACTGTGAACTTGTTCTATCATTTGTCCTCTTTCCAACGGTATCAAGTTTATGGCGTTTGGGTCATTATTGGGAAAGTTACGAGATTTTAAAGTCGTGGTGATGGAATTGAGTTCTGCATGGTGAGTTTCCAGTTATCGCGAACAGTTTTGGTACCACGGTTTCGCGATCATTTTTTTATATTTCGAGAGTTATTTCAAGAAATTTTCCAACATGAATGTTGTTTAGGGAAATTCACTCTTCAACTTTTATGTTGAGACTTTATCTTGAAGAACGCTATATCTCGAATTATTGAATCATGAAAAGGAGGTTGGAGCATTGACGGGAAATCGTCGGTAATGACAGAATTGCCGGTGTTTATTTCAGTTACGGTTTCATAATTTCAGGACCATCTTAGGATGGGCTATGGTCGTTATTTTTAGGCGAGGCCAACACGAAGAATGTTCCTTGATACGTCCTCTTTTTAATGATATCAAGATTGCGCCGAAAGGAGTGTTATAGCGCAAGATATACAAGCATGAAGGCGGTCATGTAACCATGCATAATAACAGAATCTTTTGGAAAAAGGCTACTGTATCATAACTCGCGTATGCATGTGATGACAGTTTCGATGGCCATGCGATAATTAGTTACTGCATGTATAATGAGAGTAACCATAAGGAGTCTTTTCCATTTTTATCCATGTAACCGTAACAAACTGTTGGCAACGAATTTTTTTTTGGCTCATACTCGCAATGGCAATCGAATCCTCTATGATTCTAACAAAAACAACTTGGCTCATAACAGAAAATATATAACCATCACCTGGGCTCGCTCATTTTTTTTCGGCTTCCTCTCTCACTGATTTTTTTCAACGAACGAACCCTCTCGCTCTCGCTTTCATGTAACAAGAATGCTTTTTCTTCACAACACAGTAACCAGCTCGCTCTTTTTTCTTCCTTCCATCACAGCAGCTACTACAAGAGTTTCAAGCCCTTTCATCGTCAACGACCGCGCTCCCTCGCTTCCCTTCATCACGGTGACATTCGATAATCCGCGTCGCCTTTGGTGATTCAACGAGTTCTTGAACTTCATTCTGATCTTCGCAAACGGAAATGGTGACTTGCGTTTAGTTCGCCGCTGGATCTGGAAAGGTT